GGCCTATGTCCACTTGATGGTGGGAAAACTGAGAGATGCCAACTTTCAAGATGGCAGATTAGAAGCCCAGCCTGCTTTCCTCTATGCTCACATACCTACCTCCCAGCCAGTTGAATGGGAATCTAAGGATAAGTCTTTGTTATGTGAAGTATCCTTGAAAATTGCAAGTGCAAGTTGAGTTTTCCAGAGACTAGAAAACAAAACAAAAAACATGTGGGGGCTTTTGGTATAAAAGAATGAGCTTGAACTGACCCAGGGCCTTCTTTCTGGACCAGCAAATGGACAAGACTTTTGTCCAAGGGAGACTCAATTCTGAAGGATTGGAAGAACTTTGGCCTGCTAGGACCCAATAAGACTGATGGGCATGGGTGGCGTGGAGGGGAGAATGGGGGAGGCTGTGCTTTCCCAAACAGCCAGGTGTGGCTTTGCCCACACTCTGCCCCCAGGGTCCTGCTTCAGCAGTGCCGCTGGGCTCCAAGGGCTGGAGTCACGCCGCCTGCCTTCTTGGGGCCAGGTGGGGGAGGCTGCAGCGTTGCCTGCTCTCCCCTCCTGCCAGTCCGGGGCTATGGGGGGAGGCCGCAGTGGCGTCGCCGCGCCCTCTCCCTTCCGGGACTGGGGGCACTGCGGGCACTAGCCAGTCTGGGACAGGGGACAGAGGCCGGCGGCCGCGGTGCAGGTCTCTAATTTCTGGGGCACGTGGAAGGGGCAGGCTGGGGACTAGCCTCCCCCAGCCACTGGTTCACACACCGCCTATGCCGATAGGTGATTCTTGTCATGTTTAGTGTGAGTTAAATTTGTTCATTGTTTGTGTTTTCTGTGTAATGATTTTACCCTATAAATAGATGTGCTTGCTTGGAAAGAGCTCTTTCGTCACTGGTTAAACACACTGTCATTGTCCTGGTAGAGCAATCAAAGCATACATAGGTGCTGGCTATCAGGCATATTGGCTTGCTGGGGATTTTGCAGTGTACGGCAGGGGTGTGTGCAGACTTAAAACCCACAGTCAAAATGGAGTGGGACATGGGTCCCTGCCCAGAGACAGATGGTGGCTGAAAGCCTGAGAAAATACAAGTGCAGTTACCCTGAAACTCTGATCAGGGTATTGGAGTCTGGCCAGGTGAGAGTGGGGAATAATCCTTCCTGTGCAGTCCTAATGGTAGATGGAGGGAAACGGGCATGTGGCGTCCTCCTGTCCCATAGAATTCTCACAGTGTAGAAGGTGACTCTTAAAATGGCATGGTCACTATTGATCTTTGGTTGTGACAACTAGGATGTTAAACATGTTTTCTACTTTGACATAAAAGGTGAGATGTGTTTTACTTATGGGCTGAAATGAAGTGAGAGTGGCAACTGAGGGAGTGGGGGAAACATCATTTCCCTCCCTAATGGAAAAGTGCTATAAAAACCTTTCTGGTAAAGATCTATAGGATTAAATGGAGAATGATAACATTTCTCTAGGTTTTTTGAATCATCCTTTAGAACTTAGGACCACTGCAACTCTGTGCAGCCCCACTTAAGTCAAAGGTGCTCCATGAAGATGCTGCCAGCGGCAGAAATCAGACTGCAAGTTCTTTAAGGCTGTGACCTTGTCTTCATATTTATCCAGCAAGCACACTCTGGTGCTGTTGTAACCTTTGGGTGGGCTCGAGTTCACTTCATTTCCCCGCTCCAGTGCCTTAAACCCCCTCCCCCCCAACTTCCATAGAAAGTAGCTGGAGACCCAGAGTTCAGTCTCTAAGGATTTTCAGCAAGTATTGCACAGGGTCAAGCTACCCACATTCAAGTCCCAAAAGGAACTAAAGAAATACATTTAATTAAATAACTTTAAAAAATAGATTATTTGTTTCTTATAAGATTTTATAAAGCATGACATGGCTATTCTATAATCCACAGACATTACCTTCACCGTTATACATAAACATAAATAAAGAAAACAAATTAAAATCTGAACAGTTCAGTCCCCACAGAAATAGAGAAGAAACTGAAAGTTCCCAAAAGCTTAGGTCTTGTTCACCTAAGTCTCAGTCAGAGTCTTTGATTACCAAATCTACACAGTCTGCTGAGGCTAAAACAGCATCTTCCCTCCACTTGCTTGAAGGAATCTTCGGTTGGAATCCAGGCAGACTCTTCCTCTGCTGAAATCACTGTTAGCCAGTCAGCTAACTCATTAACCAGTCACTCAGTTAAGTGTATAGATTTAAAGAAAACCCTGTTACAAGAAAATACAAAACTGAGAATAGCAAAATATTAATGACTCTTTCCCCATTACTACATTTAAAGAAAAGTTGACAGGTTTCAGAGTAACAGCCGTGTTAGTCTGTATTCGCAAAAAGAAAAGGAGTACTTGTGGCACCTTAGAGACTAACCAATTTATTTGAGCATGAGCTTTCGTGAGCTACAGCTCACTTCATCAGATGCATACTGTGGAAACTGCAGAAGACATTATATACACAGAGACCATGAAACAATACCTCCTCCCACCCCACTCTCCTGCTGGTAATAGCTTATCTAAAGTGATCATCAAGTTGGGCCATTTCCAGCACAAATCCAGGTTTTCTCACCCTCCGCCCCCCCCCCCCCCACACAAACTCACTGTCCTGCTGGTAATAGCCCATCCAAAGTGACCACTCTCTTCACTCTCCTGCTGGTAATAGCCCATCCAAAGTGACCACTCTCTTTAAAATGACACATTTTAAAGAGAGTGGTCACTTTGGATGGGCTATTACCAGCAGGAGAGTGAGTTGGGGGGGGAGGGGGCGGAGGGTGAGAGAACCTGGATTTGTGCTGGAAATGGCCCAACTTGATGATCACTTTAGATAAGCTATTACCAGCAGGACAGTGGGGTGGGAGGAGGTATTGTTTCATGGTCTCTGTGTGTATATAATGTCTTCTGCAGTTTCCACAGTATGCATCCAATGAAGTGAGCTGTAGCTCACGAAAGCTCACGCTCAAATAAATTGGTTAGTCTCTAAGGTGCCACAAGTACTCCTTTTCTTTTTAAAGAAAAGTTGGTGATTCAGACTAGTTGAGACAATTTAACCAGAACAGTTTGGCTAAAATCAAAACAACATTCAAAGCATCCGATGAAGTGAGCTGTAGCTCACGAAAGCTCATGCTCAAATAAATTTGTTAGTCTCTAAGGTGCCACAAGTACTCCGTTTCTTTTTAATTAAAATAGATGTTATTTTCCCTCCCAATTTCCCCTGGCTATAATTAGCATTGTCCATGCTTCCCTGGTAGAGGCTTAACAATAGCACTAACCTGCTGCAAAATGCTTCACACTTAGGAACAAAAGCCTGCTCCTGTGCTCAGCTTCTCCCAGCTCACACATGGAGTCTGACCCCAGCAACAGGGAACCTACTGTAGCATACCCCAAACTACCACACCCAATTCCAGATGCTTCTGGATGTGGAGTGCTTAATCTGCCTAGCAACAATGACTCAGACATAACTCACTCCTACCTCCCCCCAATGGGTCTTTTAAAGAGATATGTCCCTATTAGGCACATGGGTTACACTATACAAATAATAAACCCACTCTCTTGCCGCCTAAACACATCATATCACCAAGGGAAGCAGATAACATCTGCTGCAAGGAATCATTTTTGGTTGATGGAAATTGAAGTTCTGTGAACAAACTTCTGATTTTCTATTAGATTCTTAGCCTCTGACAATTCACATATTCCTTGTCTCTCTGTGACTCAGGTCCCTTACTCCTTTATATGATGTGATCATTTTGATCCTAAATGTATTAGCTTGACCATTATAATATTGTACATTTCTCCCCAAGGCATCTTATACAGATGTCCTGACTTATTACCATATCACACAATCCATCCCTCAACCCCAATGCCAAGGTGATGTTCCCTGAATTTATTTAGGATTATATTCAATTTCTGTTGTTCAATTTGTGCTTTTTATCACCCCCCCCCCCATATATTTCTTAGAAGTTTCAGAATTCTGAGAGTACCTTTGCACCCACCTGACTATGCTTTGGCATGTTAACTGTCATATCCTTTAGGTATTAGCCTTGAAATAAATTCACTTTCTGCCTCTTAAAGAGACAAGTGTTACATTTCTCTTTATAATTCCCTCTTACTACTATTTTTACTCTATATGAAATATAAATAATTGACAGGTACAATCTGTCTCGGTCCCTCATTCAGGATCTTGAATTTACAATATGATCATGGCACATTCTGAATTTTAATCACAGAGGATAGGTTCGTAGAGTCATAGATTCCAAGGCCGGAAGGAACCATTGTGATCATCTAGTACAGTGGTTCCCAAACTTGGTTCATGGCTTGTTCAGGGTAAGCCCCTGGCAGGCTGCGAGACACTTTGTTTACGTAGAGTGTCCACAGGTATGGCCACTCGCAGCTCCCAGTGGCTGCGGTTCACTGTTCCTGGCCAATGGGAGCTGCAGAAAGCAGTAGCCCAGCCCGCGCCACTTCCTGCAGCTCCCATTGGCCGGGAACGGTGAACCACAGCCACTGGGAGCTGTGATCGGCTGTACCTGTGGATGCTCAGGTAAACAAATTGTCTCATGGGCTTACCCTGAACAAGCCGCGAACCAAGTTTGGGAACCACTGATCTAGTCTGACTTTCTATATAACACAGGCTATAGAACTTCCTCAAAATAATTCTGAGAGCATATCTTTTAGAAAAATAGACAACCGTGATTTAAAAATTGTCAGCAAGGGAGTCTCCGTTACTACCCTTGGTACATTGTTCCAATGATTAATTACTCTCACTGTTAAAAATGTATGTCTTATTTCCACTCTGAATTTGTCTAGCATCAACTTCCAGCCACTAGATCATGTTCTACCTTTCTCTGCTAGATTGAAAAGCCCATATTTGTTCCCCATGTGAGTACTTATAGACTGAAATCAAGCCACCCCTTAACTTTCTCTTGGTTAAGCTAAATATATTGAGCTCTCTGAGTCTACCACTGTAAAGCATGTTTTCTAATCCTTTATCATTCTCTTGGTTCTTTTTCAGTGCCCTCTCCAATTTGGCAACATTCTTCTTGAATTGTGGGCACCAGAAATGGACACAGGATTTCAACAGCGGTTGCACCAGTGCCAAATATAGAGGTAAAATAACCTTTCTACTCCTACTCTAAATTCCCCTGTTTATCCATCTAAGGATTGCATTAGCTCTTTCGGCCACATCATCACACTGGGGGCTCATGTTAAGATGATTATCCACCATGGGTCCCTATTCTTTTTCAGAGTGACTGCTTTCCAAAATAGAGTCCCCCATCCTGTAATTAACTGTATGGCCTATATTTTTTGTTCCTAGATGTATACATTTACATTTAACAGTATTAAAATGCATATTGTTCGCTAGCTCCTAGTTTACCAAACAATCCAGATTGCTTTGCATCAGTGATCTGTCTTCTTCCTTATTTACCACTTCCCCCATTTTTATGCCACCTGCAAACTTGATCAGAGATGATTTTATGTTTTCTTCCAGGTTGTTGATAAAAATGGTAAATAGCGTAGGGCCAAGAACCAGTTCCTGTGGGACTCTACTGGAAATACCATCCAGTCAGTGATGATTCCCCATTTACAATTATGTTTTGAGACCTATCACCTAGCAAGTTTTTAATCAATTTAATGTGTGCCATTAATTTCATATCGTTCTAGCTTTTTTATCAAAATGTCATGTGGTACCAAGTCAAATGCCTGAATGAAGTCTAAGTATATTACATCAACACTACTACATTTAGCAGTCAAACTTGTAATCTCATTAGAAATATCGTTAGTTTGACGGGATCTATTTTACATAAACCCATATTGATTTGCATTAATTACATTACTCTCCTTTAATTCTTTATTAATTGAGTCCCATATTACCAGCTCCATTATCTTGACCAGGATCAATGTCAATCTAAGAGGCCTATAATTACCTGGGTCATCTCATTTATCCTTATTAAAAATTGGCATAACACTAGCTTTCTTCCAGTCTTCTGGAACTTCTCCAGGACTCCAAGACTTATTGAAAATCAATGTTACCAGTTTTGTGAGCTCTTCAGCCATTCCTTTTAAAACTCTAGGATGCAAGTTATCTGGACCTGCTGATTTAAAAATGCCTAACTTTAGTAGCTGCCGTTTAACATCCTTCAGAGATAATAGTGGAATGGAAAAAGTGTTCTCAACACCATATGATGAGACTGTATCCTCTGTTTTTCCCCCCCCATATACAGAATAGAAATATTTATTGAACATTTTGGCATTTTCTGCCTTATTAATAATCCTACCATTTCCATCTAGTAATGGACCAATGTCATAGTCAACATGTGGATAGTGGTTGTCTGCAGTGGAGATATGTCATCCTGATACTCCGAGACCTGTGAAGTCATTGACCAGGAGCAAACATTACTCTTGCTGCATGCTCAATATAGCTGGCAATTGGAGCTTGACCTTGCAAGATGCTGAGTACTGAGGAGAACTGGAACGAAGGTGATGTATATCAGCTTTCCATTCCTAGTCAATAGAGTTTAATAAACAAAGACTCTGTTAATGAGGAAAACGACCATGAACTAACATCAAATTGTATGTGATCAACTCATCAGACATAAAAAAGTAAGAACCTTATAGCCACAAATCTGTAAGAACTAATATAAAATTCTAGTGGCCCTCTTTTTTGATATAATTTTATTTAGAATACACAGATAAGATCTAATGGCTGGAAGTTGAAGTTAGCAAAATTCATACAGGAAATAGAACACAAATGTTTAATAGTGACGGTAATTTACCATTGAAAGAGATTAGAAAAAGATATGGTACATTCTCCATCACTGGAGTTTTTAAACCACAATTGAATGTCTTTCTAAAACACATGTTCTAGTTCAATCACAATTTATTGAACTAGATGGAGGAATTACTGGTGAAATGGTTAATGGTCCCTTTAGCCTTAAAATCTATGAACAGACTTGGAGGGTTATATTAATAAGTATTCTCCCAAAGGGGAGATGAAAATAGTTCCTGAGATTGTATATATTGAACAAACCTGAAGGCTCTGCTAGTGCACCACTTATGCCTAAAGCAGGCCCTGAGGTCAGGGCTGAGGAACATTAGTAGGGCAATACATTTACTGCGTATGTGTCTGTTCTCAGGGAATCAGAGGACATCAGTCTCCAGGGCTGTTGAGCCAACATTTTCCATTAGCATGAAATTCAGTCAAAAAGAAAATCACTCAAACAAATATGACTTTATAGTTTGGATTGACATTTGGGAGTGCACTGATTATAACCAAAAATAACCCAGTGTCTGTGGGCCAGGCAGAGGTGCAATTGCACAGGGACTGCCCTCTGACTATTCACTAGGATGCAGAGCGTCCAAATGGGGTTGGGGAGTGAGAAAGGCCTTGTCTTTGCCTTCTAAACACTGGCCTGTGGAGCAGGAGCAGTGCATGGTGGGGAGGGAGGGAGAATATGGTGTACCCCATAGAGGTGTCTAGTGCTATGTGAACTTCCCATATATTTGCTCCCCAAGCACAGCATACACTGGTGGACTCCAGGAGTGATTCCGAATCCTTCCCCTGGAGTGGTTTAGTTCTGTCTTGTGCTTTAAACTCACTTTGTTAGGAACCAAGAACCAAATTCTACAGCCCTTACTTAGTAAAAACTCCCTTGAAGCTAATTGATCTTAATTAGAGTAGAGATTTTATAAATAGCAAAACTGAAAAACAAATAATTCCTTGGCTCACTCACTAGACATCCTTATATAACAACAATGGTCTACATTTTTATCAAGAATATTACTCCAGATATCAAATATCCCTCATAAATAACCTGGTAATATCACTCTTTCATCAGAAGATTGCTTGCTTAATCCTGTGTAGGCAGTGACAAACGGCACACTGTGTCTGACTTGGCCATTTCTCTTGCTCTCTCTCATTATATTCATTTGGAATAAAAATGCAGTCTACCCTGCTGAGTAACCTTTACAATGGGTAGTGCTTCTTGGATGTGGTTCCAAAAAAGACAGAGCAATTCAGACTTTGAATGAACAGAAGCCAATTCTTTTAACTGGATAGCATTTCCATAGCAAATGTAATCATTTAGTACTGAAACATGAATCATTGCTAATTATTATTTTGAATATAATTTCTCAGCACCAAAAAGTGTGCTAGATGCTTGCCAGCACAAATTAATAGCACATTGCTCCTGGTCCAAAAAGCTTACAATCTAAGGTCCCAATCCTGAAAAGACCATTGAAAGTCAAGAGGACTTAGGTTCCTAAAGGCTAGATCTGAAAGGGGACTTAAAATCAGCATTGCAAAGCCCAATGTTTAGGTCACCCTACTGCCTAGTGGAATTCACAGCCCCAAGTTAGGCAGCCTGTACAATGAATAGGGAGAATTTAGCACCTATGAGATCCACAAAAGCCTGTAAGCTGAGCAGGGAGCTATCTAAAATAGCCAATAGGAAATGGGTGTGTCCTGAGCCCCACCCCTCAAAGAAATTAAGTGCCTAAATCTGGGCCTGAAGGAGGCCTGCCTTCAGGAATTGAAGCTATAAACCTCTCCTGGTGTTAGGCACTTAAGCCTCACCTTGCAAAAACAAATGAACAAAGAGGAGGAGCTGCTGCCACATGTTTCCCCATGGTTAGGGCACTCACCCAGAATGTAGGGAGACCTGGGTTCAAATTGCCCCTCTGTCTAATGTGGAGCAGGGATTTGAAGTAGGTCTGCTACTTCTCAGATAAGTACCCTAACCTCTGGGCTGTGTCTCAAACTCTCTTACTGAAAGTCTGAAAGGACTCCTCGTTATTTTTGCTGATACAGACTAACATGGCTACCACTCTAAAACCTGAAAGTCTTCTGCTTTGTATAAGTCACCATGTAATCAGTGGACCCAGGTGTTGAATTTGGGTCTTTAACATCCCAGCTAACTGCCCTAATAACTGGGCAATACAGTCACGCACGTTTTCTCTGGCCTAATGACTACTATGTATTTCAGGACTGAGGCAGACGTGTATATGCCCACCAACAGAAATGTAGGTGCCAAGGGGACTTTACCAGTGGAGTCTTAAGTACTAGGGGCTTTAGGTGTCTACAGTGGTAGATGGCAGCTGAGCTGAGACTGAGGTTGTAAGTTTTGGACATAGGCATCTAAAGTGGCAGTTAGGAGTCACTTTTTTTTCAAATGGTATTCCAAAATTGATTGGTATTTTGGCTTTTTGAGGTCATTATATAAATATGCCACTCGCTTTGCCAAAAATCAAGATGTGTTGGTCCAACAGACAGGATGTCTTTGGATTTTAAGTATGAATTCATTTATATATCCTGTCTTGAAATCTGTTTGGCTGGAATGATTTAAATTAACATTTCCTGTCAACGGATTGGAACTCCAGTCTCAGGAGACAGCTATCCATGGACATCTTACCCTATATCCAACCATAGCTAATATTTCAGCAATCTAAAAAGGAAAACAAAAGTCCTTGCTGAAAATTTCACTTGTCGAGTGGTATATTACCTATCTTCATTTAATAGGTTAACGTATGGACGCAGGGATCATACTGATTAGAGGCTCCGGCTTTTGCTTTATAAGACTTCAAAATAATGGATGAACATAGTATTAAACTGCTCCCTTGCATAATCCTTGCCTTTAATTCTGATCAGGGCTGGCAGAGTGAGGGGCAATTTGTCAGAGACTGATTGCAGTCCATTGTTTGCTAGAGCACGGTTAGAGTCACAAGGGTCCATCCTGCATCAACATGCTGTAATTTATGTGCTCATTTTTGTGTCCACTGATCAGCTGCATGAAAAAAGCAGTTTTGCTCCCTGCAGATAAAAACTGAAATAAATTCTGTCCTCTAAAAGCTCAATAAATTCTCAGGCCTGGTAAGCATTACTGATGTCCTTACAGTCACTAGTGTTGCTTGGAAAGGACGATATATTTGTCTTAGCAAGCATCATGATGCTGGCTCTGTGGAAGAGAAGACATATGTGTGATGTCATATTTATGAGTGTAAATATGGCATAACTGGAATACGTTTTATTCTAGATATGCCATGTAACATATCTTTGCAAAGGTTATGTTCTTCTGCATGTATTCATCCTATTTGTATGCATGTATCATTTTTATATCTGAAGTTATGAGTGTTGGCTTTATGAATCATAGAATCATAGAATATAAGGGTTGGAAGGGACCCCAGAAGGTCATTTAGTCCAACCCCCTGCTCGAAGCAGGACCAATTCCCAGTTAAATCATCCCAGCCAGGGCTTTGTCAAGCCTGACCTTAAAAACCTCTAAGGAAGGAGATTCTACCACCTCCCTAGGTAACGCATTCCAGTGTTTCACCACCCTCTTAGTGAAAAAGTTTTTCCTAATATCCAGTCTAAACCTCCCCCACTGCAACTTGAGACCATTACTCCTCGTTCTGTCATCTGATACCATTGAGAACAGTCTAGAGCCATCCTCTTTGGAACCCCCTTTCAGGTAGTTGAAAGCAGCTATCAAATCCCTCCTCATTCTTCTCTTCTGCAGGCCAAACAATCCCAGCTCCCTCAGCCTCTCCTCATAACTCATGTGTTCCAGGCCCCTAATCATTTTTGTTGCCCTTCGCTGGACTCTCTCCAATGCTTGTATTTAAAGTGTTTGCTGTAGAAAGCACCTAAGGCAGATGTGGTCAACATAGTGTGAAGGGGTTATGCAAGTAATTGGGAGTATTTGGTTAACAATGGACCTTGATAGGCATCAGTCCACATCTGAGCTTTCCTGGGAAGTCCTGGAGAAAACTGAGTAATGCTTGGACATGTGAGTTGCCCATGTGATTCCAAAACTCCATTTTGTAGCTGGTTTCTACACGGGGAGAGAGGGGTTTCCACCTACAAGAGAGAAACTATATAAGCCCATGGGAAAACCCCTCCATTTTGTCTTCAGCTGGCACAAAAGATAGCCTCTCCACCCCAAGAAGATGCCTGAAAGAAACTGGAACAAAGAACAGTAACTACAGGGGTATGAGTGATTGCTGGACCCAGACTAGAAGGAGCCTAGTCTGTAAAAGAAGCTTACTGGAACCTCTCTGAGGGTGAGATTTCATCTGTAATCACTTTCTTACTGTATTAGGCTTAGACTTGCATGTTTTATTTTATTTTGTTTGGTAATTCACTTTGTTCTGTCTATATTACTTGGAACCACTTAAATCCTACTTTTTGTATTTAATAAAATCACTTTTTACTTATTAATAGCTGCGGGGGCTGACAGCTGTGCATATCTCTCTATCAGTGTTATAGAGGGTGAACAATTTATGGGTTTAGTCTGTATACCCTTTATACAGGGTAAAACGGATTTATTTGGGGTTTAGACCCCATTGGGAGTTGGATATTTGAATGCTGGAGACAGGAACATTTCTTAAGCTGTTTTCAGTTAAACCTGCAGCTTTTGGGGGCTGTGGTTCAAACCTGGATGTGTGTTTGTAGCAGGCTAGCGTGCCTGGCTCATACCAGGCAG